ATTGATTTTTTACAGAGTGGAAGAGAGAGGGATAGAGAGTTAGAAACATCGATGAGAGAGAATCATCGATCAGCTGCCTCTTGCACACTCCCCACTGGGGATGCGCCCGCAACCAAGGTACATGCCCTTGAACGGAATCGAACCTGGGACCCTTCAGTCCGCAGGCCGACACTCTATCCACTGAGCCAAACCCGTGAGTCTCATTATTTAAAAGGGCTTTATCAATGGCAGCAAACCAGAGTGCTGCAGAAGTTTTAAATCATGCAAGTTTTTAAACCAGGCACTGACCTCTTTTCTGTTAGACTGTCAAATAAAAAACAAATGACAACAGCCAATATAATAATAACTGGTGTGAATGAATCAATAATATACCTATATTTTTGTCAGATCAGCAAAATATATTTTTTGTGTGTGCCACAAAAGTTTAGTTATTAGATTATGTGTGCCATGAGATGAAAAAGGTTGAAAATCACACTATCTATGGCATAGTTCAACACTATCACCAATTACTGAATCTATTCTGCATAACTAAGGACAGAACCCCGTTACCCATGACCCAATCCAGCCAAAAGCATTACTGTGTGACTGGGTAGGAAAACCAGCAGTAACACTAAATTCCTGTGCCTGTACTTGTAAAATGTTTAGGAAGCACTGTGTACAAGTATAAATGCTACATTGCATGTTTAAACCAAATAACAATTTTAGGAATTCCTTCCATTGATCTTTGCTCTCACAACAAAGTTTACCACTAGGTGGCAGAAGTACATTAAGAAGGTGATGTTTCTACAATGCTTTATAAATAAAGGTAGACTGACATTTTCCAACCTCTTTTTATAGTAATAAAAAATGTGTTAAACTGCTTAGAGTTTAAAAATATATATATATTGTTGCTTCCTAAGTGGCTAGTTACAAATAAATGATTTTAAATAAAAATTAATCTCTTACTGAAAATACATTATATATTAAATATTATAAGCAGATTTCAACTTTTTTGTACTCAATAATAGCCACAGCTTAAACTAGCTTTGCACATGAAAACAGAACTATACTATCAATACATTAAAAAAATACACTGTGCATTAAGATACAGTAAAGATTGAAATTTAATTTTGTGTAATGCTATACAAGGTAAATAAAAACTGCTTTTAACCCATGAAGGTTGGAATTCTTGCATTTTGCAAGGTGTTTTTTATTGTTTTTATTTATTCATTTTGTTTCTAAATGTCAAAATCAAAGAGAAAATCTGGGTCTTCTAGCCTCTGGAATTGCACCAAATAAATTTCTGTTGTTTAAACAAAAATAATAAATAAATAAATAAATAAATAAATAAATAAATAAACAAATGAGAGAAAGTTTTAGGTTATATTTTACAAGCACTTCTCTTAAAGTAAAACTAAAGATTACGAATACATAAAATAAAAATTGGGCAAAATTATCATTTTTTTCCTCCTTTTGACATTTACATTAAAAATATAAGAGGAAGCTTGATGTACTATATAAGAATTTTGAGGATATGAATACAACTTAAAAATGTGATGACTATCTTGAGGCAATTTGTAGAATTATCTATCAATATATATGGTATTTTAATAACTTATGTCCATCTGCTTTCTATATTTGGTGGTCCCTTGTGGATAGAAATTAAATCATATGTAATTAAGAATAACAAATATACTGATCAAATCACTGGGGAAGTAATTGAGAAACTAACCCTTACAGGGCCTTGGCTGAGTAACTCAGTTGGTTAGAGTATTGCCCTGATACACCAAGGTTGTGGGTTCAATCCCTGGTCATGGCACATACAAGAATAAACCAATCCTATATAATAAAAGCCTAGAGATGCAAATCAAAACAACAATGCAGTACCATCTCACACCTGTCAGAATAGCCAACATCAAATCAACAAACGACAAGTGTTGGCGAGGTTGCAGAGAAAAAGGAACCCTCGTGCACTGCTGGTGGGAATGCAGACTGGTGCAACCACTGTGGAGAACAGTGTGGAGTTTCCTCAAAAAACTGAAAATGGAACTCCCATTTGACCCAGTAATCCCATTCCTAGAAATATAGCCCAAGAAACTAGAAACACAATCAGAAAGGATATATGCACCCCTATGTTCATAGCAGCACAATCTACAATAGCTAGAATCTGGAAACAGCCTAGATGCCTGTCAGCAGATGATTGGACAAAAAACTATGGTACATCCACACAATGGAATACTATGCTGCCATAAAAAAGAAGGAATTCTCATCATTTGCAGCAACCTGGATAGAATTAGAGAACATCATGCTGAGTGAAATAAGCCAGTCAATGAAAGAGAAATACCACATGACCTCACTCATTTATAGATATTAAAAAACATTATAAACTGATGAACCAAAAGACAGATATAAAGACAGTAAAGCAACAAGCAGACTACAAATTACAGCGGGGAGGGTAGGGAGATCTGGGGGAGATAAGAGATCAACTGAAGGACTTGTATACATGCATATAAGTACAACCAATGGACACAAAACTCTGGAGAGGGAGGGTATGTATGGGAGGGGGGGGCAATGTTAAAATATGTACACAGATAATAATTTAATAATAATAAAATAATAATAATAAAAGCCTAAGTTGCATCACACCCTCTTGCGATGCCCTTGTGTGATGTCGCCATAAGATGGCCATGCACACAGCAGGGGGCAGTGGCCTGGTGGCTGTCCACACAGTGAGGCCTGGGGGTCCCACGCGTCTGCACAGGAGAGGAGTCCAGTCCCAGTGTCTCTGCCACCTCGCGCAGAAAAGGCAGGTGGAGGCAGGGAGGGCATTTGGGGGGTGATCAGGCCAGCAGGGGAGGGAGTTGGGGGCAATCAGGCCCCTGTGGGGGAGGGCAATTGGGGGCAATCAGGCCAGCAGGGGAGGGCGATCAGGCCAGCAGGGGAGCAGTTGGGCATCAATCAGACCGGCAGGGGAGTGGTTAGGGGACGATCAGGCTGGCAGGCAGAAGCGGTTAGGGGCAATCAGACAGGTAAGTGAGTGGTTAGGAGCCAGCGGTCCGGATTGTGAGAGAAATATCCAACTGCCGGGATCAGAGCTAAACCAGCAGTGACATCTCCGAGAGGTCCCAGATTGGAGAGGGTGCAGGCCACAGCTGGTGGGAATGCAGACTAATGCAGCCATTATGGAAAACAGTATGGAGTTTCCTCAAAAAGAAATTAAAATATGGAACTGCCATTTGACCCAGTATCCCACTTCTAGGAATATATCCTATGAAACCCAAAACACCAATCAGAAAGAATGTGAACCTCTATGTTTATAGCAGCACAATTTACAATAGCTAAAATCAGGAAACAGCCCAAGTACCCATCAGTAGATTAGCAGATAAAAAAGCTGTGGTACATTTATACCATGGAATACTATACAGCAATAAAAAGAAGATTCTCTTACCCTTTGAGACAGCATGGAGGGACCTGGAGAGTATCATGCTAAGTGAAATGAGTCAGTCAGAGAAAAACAAGTACCACATGTTCTCACTCATATGTAGGATCTAATTAACAAAATAAACTAATGAACTGAGTGGATCCAGGAACATGGAAGCATGTTATGAATCTGAGGGGAAGGTGAGGACGGTGGGTAGATGGGAGCTAATCAACCAAAGACCTTATATGCATATATGTATAACCCACGGACACAGACAATAGGATGGTGAAAGCCTGGGGCTGGGGGCAGGGATTGGCTGGAGAGGGTCGATGGAGGGGAAAAAAGAGGAGGGACATATGTGATACGTTCAACAATAAAGATTTTTTTTTAATGGACAGTCCATAAGCTGTGCAGCTTGCAAAAGATGTAGCACAATCATTTATCAGCAGCATTAAGCCAAAACTGAGTTCCTCTTTAGGAATCAGGGGGGAGAAACAGTTGCTAGGGAATTATTTTCTATAGCAAGCACCAATTTGCACCTGCAAAATAGTTTAGAAATATATGTGAAGAATAATTTGCAATATATACACATGAATGCATTTGCTCATCTTTCAGCTCTGTAAGGTAATATTACCGAATGCATTTATAAAGTGAAAATTATACAGTGAGGTAAGTTGTCTGGCTTGATAGGATATGAAAAGAACATTGCTTTTGTAGCCTTGACAGTTATTAGTTGATTCAATTCATGAGATGCTTATGTTCTACTCTAAAAATAAGTTCAATACCATCATAAAAGTTGCTTTGAACCATCACTGCTAAGGGCTTGACTGGTATCAAACTGCACATTTCTAATTCATTCCTAGGAAATAAAACAGACTAAGAACACATAACGGTCTTAGCACAAAGAATCTCATTTATATGCACTCAGTTGAAAAGGATACAGAAACCATTTAAAATATAAAGAGGAGAAGTATGTGGGTAATAACAATTGTAACAAAAATAAAAATTCTGAGAGCCCCTGTTAGCTGCTTGGAATGGAAGACAGGTCTTTTTCAACTACCCCATCCTCACCTTCCAATCTAGCCACATAGTTGGTTCTCAATAAATATCTTTTGAATAGATGGCGTGGTAAGTGCCATCCCAAGAAATTTCCTACATTAGTCATTCATTTCAAGAAATAAAGATGACCTCTGAATGTGGTAAACAGCAGGCTGACGAGAATAATTGTAGCCCTAGCAGGTTTGGCTCAGTGGATAGAGCGCCCGCTTGCGGACTGAAGGGTCCCAGGTTCAATTCCGGCCAAGGGCACATACCCGGATTGTGGGCTGGATCCCCAATAGGGGGCATGCAGAAGGCAGCCGATCAATGATTCTCTCTCATCACTGATGTTTCTCTCTCTCTATCCTCCCTTCCTCTCTGAAATCAATAAAGAAATATATTTTTATAAAAGAATAATTGTAATGGTAGGACCATCAGCACAGACTCCACGGGCTCCTGCGGTAAGTTAAAGAAAAAGAGTCAACGCCAAGGAAAGCACCTGTGCACATGAGCACCCGTCCTGCCTCAGGTTGGGTACAAGAGTGCCCTGCCCTGCCCTTACCTCCTCGTCCTTCTCCTCTGGCCCCTGGGCCTCGCCAAGGCTCAGCTGAGGGTGGCTTCTGGACCCGCTGTCCTCACCGCCTTTGTCACACGCGGCTCGCACCGAATCTGGGAAGGGCCCGGCACCTTCCACCCTTTCGTTGCTGTTACTGTCGGCAGAACTCAGGGACAGCGCGCTGAGGCTGTTGGGGTCCTTCCCTGAGCCGGGGCTCTGCGGGCTGGGGGGCTTGGGAGCGGTGGGCCTCAGGGGTGTCAGCGGCTGCTCGGGTCCCAGTGTAAACTGGCCGCCAGGTTTGGGTTCCGGGGAGTCTCCGCGTGCTCCGCTCTGGGCCTCGAGAGGAAACACCGCGGTTTCCACGTCCACGTGGGCGCCCCGCGGCCCCGCGGGACCGAAGTCCGGGGCCGGGCCGGGCCTCCTGCCCTCGGGCTCCGCGCCGCTGGACGCCCGGCGCGAGTAATCGTCGTGCAGGCGGCTGCGGGGCCCGGGCCGCGGGGCGGCATCGCCGGGGCAGGGCGCCTCGCCCTTGGGCCGCTGCTCTCGCTTCCAGGCGGCGTCGGTGGCGCTGCTCACCAGCCTGAGCACCCGGTCCCAGTCCTTGGCCCGGATGGGGCTCTTCCAGCGTTTGGTCCTCCGCTCGGACCCGGACCCGCCGAGCTTCTCGGAGTCGGCAGAGCAGCTGCTGAGCGTCCGGCGGGGCGCGGGCCGCTCGGGCGTGCGCAGGTCGGCGAGGTTGGAGGCGGACTTCCGCTTGAAGGAGCTCTTCCTAAGGAAGTTGAGGTTGTCGGTGCTCTTGCTCCTCCGGTAGGCGACGCCGTTGTGCTCCGCGTCCTGCACGGGGCCGGAGCCAGCGCACCCCGGGAGCTCCGGGGGGCCCGGGGGCTCGGGCGGGCCCGGCGGCTCGGCGTCCCGGAGGCTGATGCGGCCCAGGCCGTAGGCGCGGCGCAGGCTGCGGGAGCGGTGCGTGCTCCTCTGGAAGGCGTCGTCCGCCTCCTCGGGCTCCGAGCCGTCGGACGCGGGCCCGGGCTGGGGCGGCCCGCCCGTGGCTTCCGAGGCCCCGCGCCCGCCGCCCGCGGGGAGGGCCACGGCCGCGCCGTTGGGGAGGGCCGGGCCCGCGTCAGGCTCCAAGGCCTCCGCCTTGGCGGCATCGCACCCCTCTCTGTTTTGAATTCCTTGGAAGACGGAGGACCTCAGCTTTTTAAAGGAGCCCATCTTGCGGAAGGAGGCCAGGGCGTTCCAGGTGGAAGAGTGCCCCATCAGGACCACGGAGCGAGGCCGCTCGACGGGGGCGCCCGCCCGCCTCCGGCTCACCGAGAAGAGGCGCACGAACTTGGCGGGGCCCGGCCTGGCGTCCTGGGCTTCGCAGGCGCCGCCGCTGCATCCCCCGTTCTGACAGGCGGGGTAGGTCACCGCGCTAGGGTCCGCGGCATCCGAGGCCGAGCAGGGGATGGCGGCCACTCGCCCGTGGCCGTTCTGGGCTGTGGTCATGTTCCGGGAGCGGGAAGCCGTGGCCACGGGGCGGCGCGGCTCAACCCCGCGTGCGCACCGGTGTCCACGGGTCCCAGGTGCAGACCTTCATCTCGGAGGCCGCTGCCCGCCCGGCCTTCACACCTGCTGTGGACATCGGGCTCCTCCTCCGTTGTGGCCACTGCCTGCAGCAGAAAACAATGCAGGATTTAGCCTTTTCCCCCACGGAATGACCTTTAAAACAGGGTCTAGTTATTTTGTTTAATAACCGCTAATATACAAAAAAGGCATGCCCCATAAATGACTGATCAAACGAAAAGTTATAAATTAAGTTCGAATTTTACTTTTTTTCTAATTCATTTCACAGATTAAAGGGGAAAATGCAAATATACATTCCTCAAAAAAAAAAAAAAAGATAATTATGGGTTGTGCATTCAATATAATGGTAAACTCCTGAATTTATTTAAACTTGTTTAAATAAAAGTTTTGAAAAACTGATGGAATAAAAGAGCCAAGGCATCATTCAAGACTGTCTTCTCTTTATTGAACAAAGAAATTTTGGCCAGGCTGGTATGGCTTAGCGGTTGGGCCTTGACCAGGAGGTCATGATTCAATTCAGAGTCAAGGTACCTTCCAGGGGTTGCTGGCTCAATCCCCAGTGGAGGTGTGCAAGAGGCAGCCGATCAATGATCCTCATCATTGATATTTCTATCTCTCCCTCTCCCTTACTCTCTGAAATCAATAAAAATGTATTTTAAAAATAAATAAATTTTGGGTTTAATTTATAATTTTAAAAGCAATGATTTCAAAACGTATCACAGCGAAATGTCAACTTAAGTATAAAACAGCTAGTGGGCAGACTGAGTGCTTAGTATGTACAAAAACTAGTGCAAGGTGCTCGCAGCTGCTTACCGTCTACAAAATACCCCAAAAGTCTAATTAGAGCTACAAAATGCTACAGGGACATGAGTGGGAGGGACCAAGCTGAAGTTGCATTAGCTCAACTTTGTGAAAGAAACCACATTAGTGAGGGGCTTCTGTCAACAGTATTCTAACTGGCTGAGGAATGGAGAGAGACATGCATATAATACTGAAGTACTAGAAATTCAGAAACAAAAATTCAAATTAAATACTCCACCTTCTTCCTTCTTCCACATGTCCTGGAACCCACCTCACACCTGGGTCCATGTTGTCTGCCCCCGTCCCCCAGCCCCAAGTGAAAAGCCTGCTTTCCTTAACTCTTTCCATCAAGCCAAATCCTCCACAGCCTTCAAGAGCCAGCTTAAATGGTACAGTCCCCCAGTTCTCAATGACTGGTGAATGAATGAAGGATCATGATAATAACCATAAAAGGCTACCATTTATTAAGTACATGTCAGGCCCTTGTACTAAGTGCTTTAGAAACAACATGCAATCCTAAGAGGTCAATAAAATGATCTGCATTTCATTGATAATCAAATGGATGCTTGGGCAGACTAGGTAATCTGTCAAGGGACCCTGCAGCTGCCCCTCCAAAGCCTCTGCTCTTCTCCTTTGCTTCAAACTCATGAACAAACAGAAAGGCAGAGGAGGGATGTGCAATGCAGATGTCTGACTCCAAGTTCAGTGCCTCATGCCATAACCCTGCTTTAAGTCAAATCCCAGAAGTCCTTATGGGACCAGTCCTTATGACTCCAAAGGTAAAATTAAAAGCAAAAGCCCTAGCTTGTTTTTCTCAGTGGATAGAGCATCAGCCTGTGGACTGAAGGGTCCTAGATTCAATTCCAGTTAAGGGCACGAATTTCTAATAGGGGCAACATGCTTTTAAAAGGGCCTCTAGTGGAGTAACAATGATTGTCTTACGATTTGTACTGGATCGTAAACAGGCAGGAACCCTTATTGTGTAATCTGGCTGGACAAAAAGAGATTACTCAAACAACTAGAGGGCACTAGAAGACCTTTTATAACCCAGGATGAAACTGTATTAAGCTGATCCTTGGGGCTAAAGGGGTACAGGCAAGTGCTTGATCTAATGTTGGGTAGTTTGAGAATGTTCTATGGAAGATCTGAGGCCAGGCCTAGGTTCTACACTCAGTACTGTCACATGAATCTTAAGTAAAGTCATTTCTGGAATCTGTGCTTCAGTGTCATCTATAAAAGAAGAGGTGCCAACATTTATGTATATAACAGCCAACTAATCAATTCCCGAGCCTCTATTGGGCACAAAGATTTTGCAGGCCCTGTGATAAATCCAAGGCAATGACAAGGTGATGGTCCATCCCAGATAGGAAACTGGAATGAGCAAAGAGTAAGGAATATAGGTATGACTGGGAGACAGTATATTTGGGTGGCCAGCTATCCCAATTAGCCGAGGAGTGAGATATTTTCCAGGAACTCCCATGGCTGAAACTGGGAAAGATTTTAGCAAACTGGGAAAACTGGCCACCCTACATTAAGTAAAATAATATAGTTGGAAGGCTGGCTTGATGTAATATAGTAGAGAAATAAAGGTGAAAACAGGCTAAGCCTATGCACCATTAGTCTATCTAACACTTTGAGACTGCCTGCAGGTGTCACCTTCTTTAGGAATTCCTTCCTGATCTCACTCAAATTAATTAAATCCCTTATTCTATGGGTTACAGATATCTCCCCAAGTTACTTTACCCAAACATATTTCAATGATAGGTTTATATGGCTGCCTTCAGAACAAGACTGAACTCTTAAATAGTAAAAACGATGTACTTTGCACACTTAGGTTATTTAAAATTATCTTGATGTGAAATTGTATCAAGTTCTCCTGCCTTGTCAATATCTGTACCAAGGTAACAATTCATTACTATAAACCACTATTATTTTTCCACTGTGAAGATGTTTAGATTTTACAACACTAAGAAGTCTAAGTAAAGCTTAAAGTTTTAGGACAGAGATCCAGTAAAATACATGCAGAAAATCCGTTTCTAATAGGGGCAACATGCTTTTTAAAAAAATCATTGCCTTACTATTTCGTTCATGTAGCTGAACAATGTGATTGTTGTGTGCTACTTGGAAAGAAACTGAAAATCACGGAAGAAAGCTTTTCCTGGAATTTCCAAGTAACACCAAGTTGCATTATTTAGAACTAACACTTTGACCTCTATTAACAAGGATTGCAATTCAGTCAGTGGTTTTGTAGCAAGGCTTGTAAATTGTGGGAACTCTGCCAGAGATATTTATGAAGAGAACTACAAGAAAGACTTTTAGATGGGAATATTGTGAAATCCATTGTCTAACAAGCTAGGTTCTGGGGTGTATGAACTTTAGAATAGAACATTTTAGTCATAATGAGAATTCTCTGAAAACAACTATGATCAGTACTTGTTAAATAAGAACTTGTACTTGAATTTGAAATTCAGGAATATATATCAAGTTAAATGTACAAACAAGAAGGTTTTTGTAATATGTTGGTGTAAATTATAGGAACTGTAACACTGAAAAACAAACATTGAAATCTAATGCTGAAGGATGAAATCGGAGATGCTGAAGGAGTGAAAGTATAGATCCTTGAATCACAGCACTACAGAGCTAAGGAACATGTGACCACTAATTGTAAAGATTAGGATACTGGGGCCCAGTGGGTCAGCCCAGTAGGTGAAAGCACAGTGGGCTGGGAATCAGAGGGACCAGATTCTGACACAGCAGTGCCACCTACTGGCTAACACCGGTTGGTGGTCCTAGACTTCCTTTCCCTTCCTTTCTAGTCACCAAGTGTAAGAGATTCTGGCTCAGTGTGGGCTGCCTCCACCTTAATTCCAGCCTTTAGGACCTTCACCTGAATGACTGCATTAACTTCCTGACAAGTCTCCTGTCCTCTGGTCTGACTCACCTCCAAGCCACAGTAAACTTCCAAACTGCAAATGGAGTGGTGTCACTTCATCTACTGTCATCGACTGCCCTTGGAGATACTGAGATATCAAATCACCTAAGCCTAGCACTCAAGACAGAGAGCCTTTCTCATGTAACTATGCTCTGGGATATTTTTCTTGTTTGCTCCCAAAGTTTTTCTCCAGCCATTTTTGCCTCTCTGTAGTGAAGGCCCTACACTGTAAGGAACCACAATCCCCAGGCTCCTGTAACAAGTGGCTTCTGGCCAGGTTGGCCAGGGAGAAGCACTGGTGGGACATGCCAGGGTGTTTCTCGCTGTGTGGGCTGCTGCAGGGGCCTTTCCAGCAACTCTGAGGCTATTCCTTGGCTCCAGCTCCTGCTGGGCAGCTCCTCCTTCCAGGTGGCACAGTGTCCAAGCTCAAGTAACACCAACTCTTCCCTTTCTCTCTCCAGGCTAGGGGTGGCAGCATCTTCCTGCTATTGCTCTCTGAGCCTCACTGTCCTCTCTTTTGTTTCTCAGCTGTGTAAAAATAATATCTGGATTAGTTCTCTTTGTTTGAAATACCTAGAGAAGTTTCTCTTTTTCTGACTGATAGATATGTGCTTTGCCTAACTTTCATTAATTCAAATAAACTTTTCCCTAGAAGAACTCTTTCCTTCCTATCCAATCCAGATGCCCCTTCTGCATGGGCTCACAGCACCTCAAGCATTTATTTTAGCACTTACCACACACTGCTCTGTAATTCTGGTTTTTCTGTCTGTTTTCTCCACTAAACTCTAAAAAGGTTGAAGAGTTCTTTCAAAGCAGAAAGAAAATCTTATTTAACTCTGTTGTCAGCAGTCAGTTTTGATCACCTGAGGATAACACTACTTCTTTAGCATAACTTAGCTGTGTCAACCTAACATTTGAGACCAGATAATTCTTAGTTGAGAGGGCTATCCTATACATTGTAGATATTTGGCAGTATCCCCAGCTACTGCCTTAAAATGATGCTATTAGGAAGAAGAAAAATGAAGTATAGAGAAAACCCTGAAAACCATGGAAGTGCCATGAGTTAGTTTCATGGTGGTTTCTATAAAACTACTGAAATTTATTATTTTCAATCATAAAACAGTGTTCTAATTTATTCTTTGATGGTACTGATAAAAAAAATTTAATGATAATATTGTTAGCAGCTACA